CCCCCCCCCCCCCGAAAAGCCTGGCCTCCGTTGAGCTGTTGTGTTGTGGCCTGGGGGTCCTGGCAGGGGGGTGGGTCTCGGGGTGGGAGGGGAGCTGGCAAAAACCCCACAGAGGTTTCTAGTTCTTCTATCACTTTGTGTGTGTGGGGGGGCTGTGTGGGTAGCTGGCCCGGTGTTCTGTGCCGGCCTAGGGCCTCCCCGCCTGAGAGCCAGAGGCTGGGCTGGGGGGGTTCAGCCCTCCGCCCCCCAGAACGCGGGAGCCCTTTTCTTCCAGGCTGGTCATACTTGGAGCCCGCGGCCCTTGCAGGGGGACATGAACTCGGCCCTCTGTGGCCCTCCCCTGCCCGCCCCCTTCATTTCTGTTCCGCTTTCCAAAATGCGGGGGGGGGGGGCAGTTGCAAGAAGGTTTGGCAAAGGTGTGTGTGTTTTTTTTTTGGGTGGTCCTTCTGGCCACGCTGCCAGTGCCTTCTCCTGTTACTTCCCAAAGAGGGCTGGCGGGGGGTGGGGCTGTTCCGGACCCCCGGGGCAGGAGTGTGGGTCACGGGCATCCCCAGGCGCCAGCCCCGCCTGCCTTCCTGCCTCTCCTCAGGCTTCAGCGGCTGCACCAGGACGGGCAGACCATGTTCTTCTGTGACCCCTCCCCTTGGCGCTGCAGTGACTTCACGGCCCACCCGCTGGTGCTGAGCTATGCGGACCGTACCGGGATGATGGGCATCGACCGCCGGGTAAGCTGTGTGGGAGGGACGCGGCACAACGACTCCCAGATGCAGCGGGGGCACTGGGGGCTGGCCGTGCTTTGTACGCCCTCTCTGCCAGTCTGGTGTCGTGGTTAAGTGCGCAGACTCTAATCGGGGGGAACCAGGTTTGATCCCCCACTCCTCCTCCACTTGCACCTGCTGGATGACCTTGGCCAAGCCAGAGTTCTCTCACAAGCAGTCCTTGAAAAAGAGCAGTTTCTGTCAAGAGCTCTCTCAGCCCCACCAGCCTCACAGGGGGTGCCTGTGGTGGGGAGGGGAAGGGAAAGGAGTCTGTAAGCCACCCTGAGACTCCTTCGGGTAGTGAAGGGCCATGGGGGTATGAATCCAATCTTCTCCTTCTCCAGTTTGGTGTGGTGGTTGGAAGCGCGGACTCTAATTTGGGAGAACCGGGTTTGATTCCCCATCTCCTCCACTTGCACCTGGCTGGGTGACCTTGGGCAAGCCATAGTTCTCTCACAAGCAGTCCTTGAAAAAGAGCCGTTTCTGTCAGAGCTCTCTCAGCCCCACCCGCCTCACAGGGTGTCTGTCTGTGGTGGGGAGGGGAAGGGAAAAGGAGTCTGTAAGCCACCCCCAGACTCCTCTGGGTAGTGAAGGGCCATGGGGGTATGAATCCGATCCCCTCTTCTCTTCTTCTTGCCTGGCTGTTCCACCTGCCTGGCCTGCAGTAGAACTCCCCCCCCCCTCCACGGGTGCACTTGACTATCGCCCTGCTCGATCAGAAAGAGCCAGTGAAAGTCGGGGGTGGGTGGTGGTGGCAGGAGGCTGCTGTTCTTTGAGGATTCAAAGGGGGGGGGGTTTCTCCCTGTTTTTAGGTGCCTGCCGGTCACCATTTTGAGCTCTTCAAGGTGGGCAGCGAAGGGGACTGCCAGCAGGGGGAGCGCCTGGTGCAGACCAGGTACCTGGGCCAGGCCCAGCCCTATCACCCGCGCCACGGAGGTAAGGGGGGGGGGGGGGTAGGGTGGTCTGTTCCAGCCGGGGCGCAGCTGCAGGACGGCCTTTGAAGGAGGGGGCTGTGGGAGCCAGCGCCCTCCTGCTGCCTCCAGCCCAACGGTCTTCCCTTTTGTTTTTGAAATGGGAGTCCTGGCTGCAGCCACCGGAGGCACAGGGGAGCCCTCTCGGATCATGCTCGGCTTCCCCGGCCGTCTCCCAAGACTCGAACAGACTTCCTGAGCAGAACCTCCAGACAGCTGCAACAGGGACCTGCTTCGGCCTGCGGGCCGTTTTCTCCAGGGGCCCAGCCTGTCGCTCTCTCTCCCTTTCCTTGCACCCTGCTCAGCCGGATCTTGCCAAGCGGGGGCTGGGGGGATGCAGCAAGATAAAGCCACCCTTCCCTCTCTCCGTTTATCTCCCTCTTTTCCACACGTTTCTCCTTCATTTCTGCCTCCCTTCACCTAATTCACCCCCCCCCCCCCCCCCTTTTTCCCTCTGTGTTCAGAAATTACCCCCCT